AAGGAGCGAATTTGGAGAAAAAAGGTCCAAAATATGACGATTTGAACTAGGGCGCCGATGACGAGCCCAACGACGGTGCGAATTTAGAGCGAAAAGGTCCAAAATATGAAGATTTGAACTAGGCCGCCGATGACGAGCCCAACGACGCCGACGGCGAGATCGATAATTATCTCAACATGTGCATTGAATGTGAACGATTTTTTTAGGGATGCTTAAACAACTCTTGGAAAAACTCTTCTACAATTTTAAAAGAAGATTTTGGTCGAAAATAGAGGAGGTTCGGAGGTTCAGGGCAAGTGTTGGGAGAGTGTAGAAAGTTTAATTTATGGTTAGATTGTGAGAAATTCTTCGAGAGATTGTGAGAGTGGAGTAAAAGTGAGAGATTTTTTCCTTCTTGCCGCTTTGAAGAAGAATTCTGTGTGTTATAAAGAAAGGAAGAGATTCAGAGGAACTTTGCATTAAGAGGAACGTCGAGGAGTTTGCTTGGAGAGGAATTAAAGATAAGTCATTGTGAGAGTGGAGTAAAAGTGAGTGATTTCTTCCTTCTTGCCGCTTTGAAGAAGAATTCTGTGATGTTGTTTATATGACTTTGCTTTTATATATAAATTCCAAGAAGAGGAACTTCGAGGACTTTGCTTGGGGAGGAATTAAAGATAAGTGTTATTTACCTGATGTTGTTTGTATGACTTTGCTTTTATATATAAATTCCAAGTTTTGTCATATCTTCTCCATGAGTTCTGAGTAGTTTTCTCTGTCTTTCTCCATGTCTTGAGATTTTGTGAAATAGTGATTTGAATTGGTTGAGCCATGAGAATTTTGAAGAAGTTGTGATGATCTTTTCACTTTAATCTTAATTTACTTTGAATCTGGCCAATTAATTTATTAAAATATGTTGAGTTTTACAACGAAAGTGAGGATTTTATTCAAGACTCAGGGAGTTCAAAGACCTTAAAAGTTGGGTACAAATAAATAGGGAAATAAAAATTATCGGGCGTAGAATT